ATTTTATATGGTTCACAAATATGACTATCTAATAGATATTAATATTAAAAAATCACTAAAATATCAATTGCAATCTGTTTCAAAAACAATTTCAGAATTTATTGTAAAATCCGAGAAATTTAATATTCAGCTTTGTATAGACGAAAAACGTCGGTAGAAACAGAGTTGTTACAATGAGAATTAATTATAAGTATTTAATACATTTAAAATTAAAAAAAAAACACTAAAATACTACAAAAGATTGCAACTGATAATCTTGTTTTAAATAGGAACTAAAAATCATGATACCAAATAGGCAAAAGTACAAAAATATACAAGTTATCATGTACTTTTATTTACCTGTTATTTATTAATATTAATAATGAGAATTCAATTCCTTATGCAATTAATGAATTAAGAAAAAAAAGCAAATGTAACAATATATTTTCATCTCTGCTACGTTTTCCACTTTTCGTTAATCAGAGTTTACAAATTGCGATCTACAACATAAATCAAACAAAAGTTATTCTAAGACTTATTAAAAAAAAACCACAGCAGAAATCCTTGAAGGATTTTCAGCTATTTAAGAAATGAAATTATTAATTAGCTAATATTTTATAAAGGCACGCTTTTTGGACATGAAACGAGGAACTTGGTCGGATATGAAATTGTTTGGCTTAAGAACTAGCTTATGTGCGACTCCTCTGAAACCTTCTACAAGAAAAATTCATAAACAATCTGCAGCCATTAACTTCCTATAACATATCTAATATCTAACGAATGGGGAGGAAATAGAGATGGAGGTGAAAATTGAAAAAGTTTAGCTTTTTTAGTGCGTTATTTTCAGGACTTAACGCGAACATTACGTAAATAGTACGTTTTTGCTTAACTTTTGACACCGCAAGTCCTGAAAATAAATTTAAATATACATATATAAAAAGGTGAACGTTTAAATTTAACTTAATCGTTTTTTTAACTGTACATAATTTCAATATTTTAATTATTTATGTTAATTTTATTCGTGTTTATAAACCGTGAATTTTGCCCAATAAGTTTCGAACTATGCTACAATGCAGTCCGAAACCTGGCGTATATGATTAGAATTACTCTCAATACTTACATAATTTTAATATTATATGTATTATAATACATCTTAAGACATCTGCGTATATATATAATTATATTTACTATAAGTGTGTATAAGTTTGTGTATCATTAATTGAGGGCAGTGAGCAAGTTATAGTACGGAATTTAGTAGAAAATGACTGGATCATGTAATTTACGATCAATAATTCAGAAATTGAAAATACAAACAAATTTCTATTGATGGACAGTATTTATAAACTAAATATTACAGAATAAGGTTCATTTTTGATCAACTGAACTAGGCACTTACGGTATTTACCGTATTTATATAAAATTTGTATGTTTACTAGAAAATCAGAACTGACAATGCTCAACGGCGTAGTGTGACTCAAAATTTTCATATTACAATAAAAGGATTGTCAACACTGAAATTTGTATCAGATGGGCCAGTTTATATCAAACCTGTTATTATATATATAATTAATAGATGAATACTGTCTTAAAAAATCTTGTACATTGTTATTTGGACAATATAAACATCGTTACAAAAGTCATTAACTGTTGTTTTATTATATTTATATATGTAATATCATACAACTTGTATAAAAAATGGAGAAACGTTAAACGAAGCTAAAGAACAACCAATGGAAACGGTACTCATCAAAATGAGGAATACCGTTTTTAGGTAACTTTAAGTTATATTTAATATTATTATGTTCCAAAATGGCGTTTGATAAAATGAAATATTAAGTTTACGATAATTTCATACATTAATATATACAATAATGATTAATATACACCGAAATCTTTTACATACATACATTTATCTAATAAGCTCGAAGAGATATTTCCAATCGCAATATATACCAACGTACAATCGATAAATACTTAAAATTACATAAATCAAAATAAAGCACTCCGCTAAATGCACGAATAGAATACCAATTTGAAACTACCGTCCTAAAATTCGAAATAACCCGGTTTACGGATGAAATATATCCGTCCGGAACTTTTATATGGGTAATAAAGTAACCGATTATGCTAAAACCGGGATAACGGTCATTCTAGCAGAATAACTACAGTAAAAACCGACGGCAATAATACATATTAAAAAAGGGAAGTACGTTCTCATATGCTATATCCACATCTATATGTAGTCAAGTCAAACGCCAGTAAAGAACAATATTGACCTAATTTAGAATTCTCAACGAGAATTAACTCAAGTATTCTTTGCTCAAGATGAATGTGTTTCATTTCGCAATTCCAAGCTTTAGAAACAATACACAGCAAGTGAACAAGTGATAAGAGTGAGAGAGAAGATTGTTTCATCTAACATTATTGTCACAGTAATATGAATGGGCGCAAGCATAAAACTATGCTAATATACTTACATATTGACTTGTATGTCACAGCACGCTTTGATATACAATATACATATATAAAGAACGTAATACACGACCAGTTTAATCCGGCTTACGGATAAAAGGATTTCTCGTAGGTATTAACTCCGGCTGTAATTTTGTGGTTCGTTCTTGATCCTTCGTACTCTGATCGTGTTTAAGAATGGCTTTTTGTAGCTAAAAGTGTACGCCTTTAGCACAATCAAAAGACGATATGTCCATACTTATATTTATAGAACTAAACGTATTCTTATGAACTATAAAAAAAATGTACTTCGCTTTACATCCACGATTGAAGTGCAAAATAATTATATCTATTCGGTTACTGACTGCATTAAAAAAGCTACTGACTTCGAATAACAAGATATTAAGATAGTAATCAACAAACTTAAGTCACAAGCTAAGCCTATAGTGTGCTGCAATATTCAGACTAGTCTAAATGATAATTCACAACAATATACAGACGGATATTTTTATTGTTTCCTCTAATTGCTATTACATATAAAAAATCAGGAAAAAACAAGTAACAGATAATAAGGTAGCAAATGATCTTTGTAACTAGTTCAGCTTCTTTATGTAATTGTGAAAATTCAAGTATACGACTCATTTGAAGGAATACTTTACCGATTTTAAAGTAATTTCACCTATAGAAAGGTAAATTATGTGACGGTAAAGAAAGCTGAATTCTGAACCGAGTATAGTATAAAATACTAAGTAATAAATGATTATATAAAATCACTGGAGGCTTGAATAAATCTAAAATTACAAATAGAGGTGACTTCGTTACTTCTAAGTACATTATTAATATATTGGTTAACTTAAATATTGGTAAAAACCTATCTAAACTAAAAATAAAAAAAATATTCCTGCTCGTAATGAATAAACACAAAAAAAAAACCCTTGGATTAAAAATAAAATACAGAAAGTTACGTTATCAACGAGTTACATATATGGGATTTTAAAAATTAGGATTCTAAAAACAATGATTTCCGTACATTAAGTTATATGGGATTTTATTATCTAAAAAATTGAGTTCCGTTTATTAATTGCACCTGTGCAAAGCCGGGCCGCTAATGTAGTTATAAAATTGCTAGTTGGCAGCCAATAACCGAAGTCTTTAATGGTTACGTAACATAGTAAGACCAGACGTGAAACAAAACGCATTTTTTATTATTAAACGGTAAACTCTTGCGACATCAGAACAATAGTGTCCTTCGTGATAACTACATTAAAAATTACTTTAAACTAAGTTTCACTATACAATTGTATATTAAAAATATACAAAGCTACATCAATTTAACGTACTAAACTAAATCACAATAAAATCAAGTTTAAACACGCGTATGTTCCAACGAAGTATACAGTTCTCATTTGATGAGACAAAAATCTCGGTAAATCCATTCAATATAAGTAGTATAGTTGCTAGCTTTTATAATACTGTTTGATAAATTCATATAAGGTAATATTTTATTAACTGTACATGAAGATAGGAAAATTGAAATGATTTTATGTAAAATTAAGATAAATTTGGACGACATGGGAATGGATAATCTATAACAAAATGAAGCACATATTGAAATAATTATTGTAAATTCAGCACAATTAAATTTAAGGGTAATACAGACGAATGAGAAATCTGGTAATATATTCCTTTTCGTTATATCTCATGAAAGCTTTCTTATACATTAGGAACTATAAGTATCTTAGATCCACTGGAGCTTAAATATTGTGCAACACAAATAATAAGGAGTCCAATCGTTCCTCAGAAGGACCTATTTCTAAAGGTACATTCCATTTTAGGAATGTTAATTGATCACAATACTATGTCTTCTATTAATATTAAAATTGGTACAGACAATATCGAATCACATAAAATTGATCTATTTAAACATCTGACTATAATGATAACCCTGGACAATTAACGCAGCGCAATTTAGTCCCAAATTATAAAGAGCCTGTACTAAGAATATTTATCAATTACAATTAAGAGAAATATGTAAATACATTAGACAATGTATATAAAAATACCAATGCAAACAGATATACTGATGAATACAAATGTTTGTATTGTGCAGGAATCAAAATCGCGACCATAGAATATAAGGCAGTACATTAAACCGCTAAAACACAAACAGTATTAAACGGTACACTTATAAATTCTAACGGTGGACCCATTGTATTATTTGCGGAATGAGTGAAATAGTATTAAGGAGCAAGATTTGAAGCATTCAGTGGATCAGAGACAAGTCACCGCATTTTTATATAACAATGAAAAAATGTGTTTAAATGGAGCTGTAAAAGCCAAACGCACAAGTTGGGAGAAAGTATTTCTAAAATTGCAACCCGTCTGCATAAACCTTAATATTGACTAACACCAGATGAAAAAGGAATCTACGAAATTAAAATATGTATTTCAATCTCACTTTGACATATAACCATCTTTAAATCACAAACTAATCACGAGCCAAGTATATACATTATAAAACAAAACTAACAGTATAAGTTTCATGTCCACGTCTGGTCATCATTGCACGATTACCACAGGTAACCCCATAAAAAGCCCCAAAACTTATACTGCACGAATGTAGACGCCAAGAAGAATAAATGCAGTATCAGATACCGAAGATTGTCCTGTCTGACTCTTCTGACCACGTCCGGAGTGGTACCGTTTGAAGGAAACTTTCCTGTGCGATAGAATTCTTCGAGCATTTTTTCCTTTTCTATAAATCTATCGTAGAGCCATTGCGTCATACCTTCAGTATCTGCAGGTATCTGTAAGGTTTAAAAGAATGTGGTCATCGGCAAGGATCTTCATAGATACTTAGATAAAGTAAGTGTTTTTCTTATTCAAGAACTTGACTTAAGTAAGTAACTAACTTAACTAAAATAATATAAATCCATTGCGTGGATTCTCCATTATCATAAATTGATTTCCTTACCTCAGTACTAGGATAAAGTCTATAGTGTAGGTGGGTTGTACAAGGAGGTCTTATGCCGCAAACAACGTCTTGTAAATGCAGAGGAATACGATCTTCATACGCGATGGTGAGATCTAGAACCCACTCCACCCGGTCACCCATTTTGTTATTTAGAATCTTTGTAGAATTACTTTGGTTGAAGTTATTGTCTGCAAAAAAAGTAATGAATTAGAAGTTATTTTTCGGAAGTCTATTTCACTCATTGATTGTCTCTGGAATTAATATACTATTTGACTGAGTACCTTTATTTTTATTTCTTGTCACAACTCACCTAATGTTAAGTGATAACTCTGGACAGACAGACATATACTCAGATACATTTTTTTGTAAACCCATACATAAAATACATACTAAATACTCCGTCTAATACAAGCAATAGTTCTTATGAATACAAATATTCACATCGTGTGAGTAATCGATCATGCGACGACCAGGGCGGCGTGCTAAACCGCTAAACCACAAGGGTTGTAATGTTTGATGTTAGCCTTTAAGGTGGGATCTATATTCTTGTCTTAAAGGATTTCATATTCACAATTGCTCTTTGTAATTACATCCGTATGTATATGTACTTAAAATTGATAATTACCTTTTCTAGATTCATCCTTAGACGTAGTGGCTTCTTCATCTTTATGTGGTCCTATTTCATCCATGATCACCTTTAAAGCGCCTGCTCGAGGCAATGAAACATATTCCAATTTGGGCAAATTATTTTTCTCTGCATACCTGTTGAAATTAATAGAAAAACTGATATTAAAAGAAAATTCTGTGCATTCTTTCGTGTCAATGGTAAACCTAAATATGTTTAGATCAGAACTTAGCAGCTTCAATGTAACATTCGGCCTCTTTGTTTAGGTCTTGCAAGACGATGCCTTCGTGCAAGACGATGGAGACAAAGTTTAAAGTTGATATAACTATTTAAAAATTAAAAACAACTCGCTTTTGAATAAAATGTTTCATACATATGTTTGTTTATGTATTTGTACAGCTGTTTAGTATTTATTTATGTAGGATATAGAATAAATTAATATTGTATCATAGGTGTGGCTGGCAACACTGAGTATAATAGAGAGTTGAAGTTGGTCCTTTTGCTGTGTTACAAATAAAACTTACTAATATTATAAACGGCAAAGTTTGTTAGTCTAGATGGATAGAAGGATGAATCGATGTTTGTTAATTTATCATGCAAAAACTACTGAACGAATTTTAATGAAACTTTACAGTAATATAGATTAATATCAGAACAACATATAAGCTGTAAATTTTATGCGAGTGAAACCGCGGCACAGCTAGTTAAACTATAACTACATAACGTTAAAGTTCGTATGTCAGTACGTATGGAAAGTGACAAAATGTAAAAATTAATATATGTTTGTGTGCTATAATTGAAAATATTCAAATTCTCTATCCTACCTATCTCATAAGGACCCTAACTTGAAGATAGATAACAAATCTCATCTTTGACATAAAGAATTATCATAGCAGAAGTAAGAACGAGCCTTAAGAGAAGAGTCTAAGAAGAAGGTGCCTTACGTATATCTTCCTTAAATCATCATCATCATCATCGCAGCCCGGAAGACGTCCACTGCTGGATATAGGCCTCCCCCAAAGATCTCCACGACGATCGGTCCTGCGCTGCTCGCATCCAATGCCTTCCTTAAATAAACACCTTTAAACTTACCTCTGACTTATTTCTCTCCTCTTGTGCAAGAAACCACCTTCCGGAAACAGCACCATGAATTGTCTGCCGAGTGGCACATAACTCCCATGGATGTGCTGTCTCAGCTCTTCTAATGATTGGTCACGTTTCGATTTGCCCTTTAACAAAAAAAAAACATATAAATAATGTAAAATATATCTCTTACAAATATCATATAGTTACGGATGGGTGTTTGTTACTCTTTCACGCAAAAACTACTGGATGGATTTCGTTGAAGCTTCACAGTAATGTAGGTTATACATCAGAATAACGTATAAGCTATAATTTAAAAAGATATTATGTAAATTGAGTAAAATATAATGATAAATGTTATGCAGACGAAGTTGACGCAGTTCAGTGACTGGTAATAATATATTTTAGAATAGAATTTTATTATTGTTTTTACAGTAATAACATAAGTAATACAGTAATAATTTACACATTAAAAAAAACTTTATCAATTTGGACGAACTCACATTTGCGCAAATAGTTTAGAGAAGGAGTCAGAAAGCTGATTTTTTTTTAATAATACATAATATATTAAATTAAAAAATAAAAAAACACAATATGTTAATTTAAAATTAAAATAATAATATCAAATTGAGAAAAAGTAGATAAATAATAAAAACTAGTATTATAATAATCTTAAAACATTATATACGAATGAATAAATTAATAATAAACAATTATAAAGACAAAATTTTTTAAAAAAAAAAAACCCACCATTTACATACATTGCATTTTATAATAACGGTATCGTAAGTTATTAAAATGCGGGATAACGAAATATACCACATATGCTCTAGTTGCACAAATAGTAATATATATTTTTCATTATTGTCAATAATTAACAGATGGATGTTTAGTAATTGGAATTTAGAAAATGAGCAGAAAAAAACATAAAGGAAAATGGTATGCTGATATACAGAAAGAAATTTTTCGGAAAACATTTCGCATTTCAAATTACAAGAACCATATAAAGATACATTACAACGATTAAGCTAGTATTTTTTTTTAAATAATGCATAAAAATTTATTAAATAAATAAAAAACACAACATGTTAATTGTTAAAGAAAATGCTGATCTCAAATTTAGAATGGATTAATATTGTTTTGTAGAATATTTTTGATAGATCTTAATAAGTTTATATAATAAAAATGGTCGAGTTAGTTATTAAAAATACAGATTATTTTTTATACGAGTTTATACAGAGCTATTGTAAGTTATTATAACATGCGGGATTTTTAACGAAATATACAAATAATATGCGGGTAGTTGCACAAAGTAGTAATACTATTAAGGTATTTTATAAGTCATTAAGAGAGCGCTTAGGGCCCTAATGGTTTCATGGACGTGGGTCAATGAGAATGCAGTTTTGGACCACCCCTGCCGATGTGGTCGATACGCAATAATCGGGCTGTACCATGAATCATTTATCCGACTGCCCAATATAGAAGTGTAATAGTTTTATATGTCTATTAACTACTCGCCCCGGCTTCGCTCGGGTTTACATGTATTATACATATAAACCTTCCTCTTGAATCACTCTATCTATTAAAAAATCCGTTGCGTAGTTTTAAAGATTTAAGCATACATAGGGACGGACAGACAGCAACGGCGACTTTGTTTTATACTATGTAATGTGTATTATTTATTTATTTATTTATAATTCTTTATTGCACCAATATTTTTTTTTCTTTTTTTTTTAGACAATTCTCACAGCGCCATCTAGACTCAAGGTAAGCTAGATAAAGATTTTGTTATGGGTACTAGATAACTGATACAAATACATAGATATTTTTTTTTTAACATACATATTATACATAGAAAACACCCAGACCGATACAAACAATCATACTCGTGAATACAAATGTTTGTGCCGTGCGAGGCATCGAACCCGCGACTATCGGTCGTAAAGAGGTGTGCTTGACCGCTAGACCACCGAGGTCGTCAAACAAAAAGTAGATACATAAAAAGAAAATAATAAATAACAATACAATAAAGAAAGAAGAAGATACAGAAGGCAGTCTTATCGCTAACGCAATCTCTTACAGACAACCTTACGAAAGAGAGTATAAATAAAATTATTTGTGTTATATGGCAATAAATCAATTATCTATCTATCTAATAAAACATAGGCTATTTTATATTGAAATTTAACGCAAGTGAAACCGCGGTTTTTTTCGGACTACTCCAATGCTGTTGGCCGTAGCTGGCCTTTACAGCTTCACCGGACTTATGGAGCGGCTGAAGGCCAACTCCTGCCCGACGGATACGACTTTAGTCTGAGGGCACCACTAGGGGTTCGAACCTCGGCTCAGGCCGTCGTAATTTCGATCCCCGTTTGAATTGGACGGGGGATCGATCGAAGGGGCGCCCGGGGGCGCCGGTGTGGAGCGCCCGGGCGCGCGCAGGCGCCCGGTTCAATGCGCGATATTGTAGGTGAAACCGCGGGCATGGCTAGTTATTTTATATATCTGACGGCCTCGGCAGTCTAGTGGTTTGGCACACCTCCTTACTTCCGATGGTCAAACATTCGTATTCATTAGCATGAAACTCATCTGAATCTCTTCTTTTAAAAGCCAACAACATTTCAAAGCTAATTAAAAAAAAATAATCTATAATTATTTACATAGTATTCTAAAATACATAGTATACTAAAATATCAAAGACCTCACGGAAACGATTTATTAAAACCTATATCTGGAGTATAGCCTTGTATGCGTATGAGACGTGGACATTAAATCAAAAGGAAAGAGACAAACTGGAGGCTTTTGAAATGTGGTGTTGGAGGAGGATGGAAAGAATTAGCTGGAAGGATAAAGTAAGAAACGAAGAAGTACTACAGAGGGTAAAAGAAAAAAGACAAATATTGAACACCATAGAAAATAGACGAGGAAAAATGTTAGGGCACTTGATACGGCACGATAATTTCATGAAAATTATTATTGAGGGGAAAATAGAAGGAAAGAGGGGGAGGGGAAGACCAAGGAATAGCTACATCAAACAAATTGAGGACAAAATGGGAGTCGTGTCGTATCAAGAATTAAAGAGCATGATGGAAGATCGCGGAAAGTATCTACATATATACATATCTAACATTAAAATCCAGTGCATGAACAACTATTGCCATGCACGCTCGTCATTCAAGTAATCGTTTAGTGAGTAAGGCTTTGCTTAATAAATATGATTTAACAGATGTTTTGAATTTATTTAAGGACAATTCCAATATATCCTTTGGTATCTTATTGTATTTCTTTATATAATCGTTGACGCATTTCGATTTGAACCCGGTTAACAAAAGACGTTTCAGTGTTGCAGTATCAAAATACAATTTGACTTTTCGCGCCTCTAATCCTTTGGTACGATACTTGACCTATTGGATACTGTAGAATCGTTTAGAGAGTAATAGTCCTTGCTCAATAAATATTATTTAACAGATGTTTTGAATTTATTTAAGGGTAATTCCAGTATATACTTTGGTATTGTCTTGTAATTTTTTATACCTACTCCCACAAAAGACCTATTGACTTTTTCTAAACGATACTTGGGACTGTAGAATCGTTTAGTAATAGGCTTTGCTCAATAAATATGATTTAACAGATGTTTTGAATTTATTTAAGGGTAATTCCAATATATCCTTTGGTATCTTATTGTAATCTTTTATTCCAATTCCCACAAAAGACCTATTGACTTTTTCTAAACGATACTTGGGAGCTGTACAATCATTTAGCGAGTAATAAGCTTTGATCAATAAATACGATTGTATGTAATTTAATAACGAAATTTGCATACAACAGACGCACAATTCATTCGTATAATCAATTCAATCAACCGTTAATTATCATTGATATTTTACGAGTTTAAAATGGTATATTTCCATCTGGTTGAACGTTTTCCCACGGGCGCAGCCTCCCAACACCGAGTGGAGACTCCTCCCGGGCTATCCAACCGAGAAACATTCATAGGACTTCTGAAAGCACTAACAGCCAAAGCATGCGGAAGTTGCTTTCCAATGTTTATCAACTTTTATCTCAAAAAAAGCAGGCAAAGCCGCGAGCTATTGTTAACTTTACTAATATTATAAATGTGAAAGTTTGTGAGTATGGATGGATGTTTGTTACATTGTTATGCAAAAACTACTAAACGGATTTTAGTGAAACTTTGCAGTACATATACATTAGAATAACATATAGGTTATGTATGAAATCGAGTAAGTCTCTGGGCATTGCCTGAAAATCAGTGGTTTAACAATACACTGAGGTGCTGCCTTTTTGCGTATGGGCTATGCACACACACTACGTTACTCACACAGTTTTTTTTGTACCTGTATTTTTGTATTGTACTGTATATGTACTTTTTTATTTTTGTTGTTAATGTTACATATCAAGATACATATATATATATATGTATATATTATCAATAGCGTGATACCACAATAACTTCCTCATACAACACGTATAAGATTTCAATTTTTGGTTTTTTTTTTCTATTATATTGTATTTTGTTGACTGACCAATGTACTTGTGTACCTTTAATAAATAATAATCTCAGGACAATTCACACAGTGCCATCTAGACCCAAGTTAAGCTTGCTAAAGCTTGTGTTATGGGTACTAGACAACAGATACAATGACACAGATTTTTTTTTTCTAAATATATATATATTATACATAGAAAATACCAAGACCGATACAAATAATCATACTCATGAATACAAATGTTTATGCCGTGCGAGGAATCGAACCCGCGAGCATCGGACGTAAAGCCGTGTGCTAGACCGCTAGACCACCGAGGTCGCTTTTAACATAAATAAAAATTTGATCATCTATCTACCTTCATGCGAGTGAAACCGCAAGCACAGTTAGTTATAAATACACATTATTCGTACCGTCAACACAAATGGACACACACCATCATGATAGACATGACCAAAGACAGCAATTTCTAGTTTATCGAACCGTTCACAAGGAAATGCTTAAACTCGGAGTTTTTATTGCAATAGTTAATTCACTGTTTTGTTTGAACGACCAGTTATACTCGGCCTCTTGGCAATTCGCTCGCATCTGAACCTTATTATAGGTTTCAAGGGGGCACTATACAGAATAGATTAGATTTT